CGCCAAACAATGCCCTGATCCCGCCCCCAAACTATGCCCCATCATCCCTGCTTGCAGTCTCCCCCTCAACCCTGGATGTCTCTTACATCCCTCTGCTGGCCAGCCCTGACCTCCTGGTGCCTTGTGGAGAATTGTGTGCCCCTAGTCCCACACCACAAGGAAACAGGATAGATGGTCCAATGCTGCTGGGATGTGGACACAGACAGCCAAAGACCCGGCAAGGGACAGATGCTCCTGAGGCACTGCCCCCTGTACTACCCATTCCCATCCCAGGAAGATAAGCACAAGCTAGCCCTTGGCTGCACTTTATTCTTAATTAATGCAGAGGTCATTAGATTCATTAGGGAACACAGTAAGTACCCAGCCAGGCAGCCTCCCTAAGCCTGGGGTCCCTGAGGTGCTCCAGTTATCTCAGTGGAGCTGCTGTAGAGGCCTGTGGTGGGCTGCCTGTGGGTTTGCAGGATGCTCTTGTCTTTCTGGGACTTTACTGAAGTCTCTGGGACATTCAGTGTGGCTGGGGGAGCTCTTCATCCTCACCTATGGGGTCTGTTCCTGGGGGGGGGGGGGGCTTTGGGGGGTTGCCGGGGCGTACCCATTGGGTTTGGGGGGGGGGGGGGGCATTTGGGGGTCTGCAGGGCTGTACCCATTGTGTTTGGAGTGGTGCAGGGGTCTTCTCAGGTCTCTGCAGCTTTGAGAGCTGGGTCTTAGCCATATCGTGGCATCCCTTTCCTGGTTTTTTGGGGGTAGTTTGGCCATGCCCAGAGCTGTTCCTCTCTTTTGGGAGAGTTATATTAGGGTCTTTGGTTCCCCTCCCTCAGTTTCATTTGATTGCTGTGCACTCTGTTTAGTATCTCTTTCAAAGAAATTTTAAATATGGAGGGGTTTTCCTCCAGACTGGTGGAAGGAAAGACAGGACTACAATACAAAGTGATAAACACAAGAGATTACACTTGCACTTTCAAGTTGTGGTCTTTGCTAAAAGGCTGTCCCCAACTCTAGGGAGAAATAAATGTGCAGCCCAGTGAGTTTTATTGCCACTCTGTGAGCACAGACTGAAGAAAAAGGAGGAATTACAGGGAGACGGTTCCACAACCAGCGCTGCAAATGGAAGAACGCTCCTCCATCTGCTGGCTGTCTGCATGCCTCCCGCAGCTGCCAGGCTGCACCCACCCACTGCTGCTCGTGTGTGCGCACTGGGGCGCACTGCCGCCATGCGCTCAGGCCGTCAGTGCCCAGGTTTGGCAGAGTGGCACGGTGTTCCCAGCAAAAGCTACGTTTATCTTTTGGCTATAGTGGTGCAATCAGTGACGGAAAATGCAGACAGATAAAAGAGAGAAGACTGGTGAACAGATTTTTATGAACTGGATGAAACAGAAGGAAAAACACTATTCAGCGGACCCTTGGTATCACTAGAAACTCCCAGAGAAGGAGGTGTTCCTGCCTGGACAGCAAAGACAACTAGCAATAAAAAGTTTTTGTTACTTCTGTCTCTCAGGGGCAGCTCTAAGGTCTAAATAATCCATTCTCACCCTGTGGATACTGTTCATTGTGTCTGGATTAGCTTTGCTACGGTAGTTTCTTGTTTGTTTTGTTACCAGGTATGCATATGTGAAAAGGGAAAGATGTAATACCTGCTTTTTAGATTAATTGCTGTGCCTGAAGTCAATTACAGCCTGCCTTATGGCCCCTTTGGTGCGCACCAAGGCTCTGCATGTGCCCCAAGACCCTCAGTTCATATTTCAAAATGCTCCTAAACCCTCAGTGTACCTTTCTGTGTGCCCCTGGGCACTGTGTTTGTCTTGCAGCATGCCCCAAAGCTTTCTGTTTAGCTTTCTTCCCTGTCCCTGAATTTTCTGGGTACTTTCTGGTGTGCTCCAGGATTGTGATTTCCTTTCTTTAATGCACCAAGGATCTCCCGTTGCTATTCTGTGCTCCCAGAATATTTTGTTTGCCTATCACCCCCTGATGTTTCTTCTTTTTTTTTTTTCTTTTTCCCCTTTCGTTGTACCCCAGAGCTCACCATTTGCACCCTTAATACTCATTCCTTTTCATGCACCCCAGGTCTCTCTCTTTCGCTTTCAGCAAGCTGCCCTCTGGAGCTGGGCACCTCTGCAGCTCTGGCAGCCCCAGCTGTTGTCCCCTGTGGGCTCTGGGGCAGAGATGGCAGAACAAGCAGCCCCAGATATGACAGCAGTGCCCTCTCGGTTTCCAACGAGCTGTAATCATACATAAATAACTGTGCTGCCCACGGTGGCCGCGCTTCTGCAACTCTGGGAGAATGGGGCCAGCACCAAACGGGGGAGGGGGCTGGCGGTGGTGGTGCAGCAGGGCAGCGGAGCCCAGCGCGGGGGCGAGGGGGGCGG